GTTTTGTAAGCTACAAAATCCTGTGTAAATATCATTGGAGTCAGGAACATTGATAATTATTTACTATTATCAAAATAATTGATTTATATGCAAATTGAAAATATCTAAGCTTTTTCAAGTGCTTGGAAGCCATTTGACTTCTTAAATAGAGTGAAATCTTCTTTACATTATTTTCCTAGTAAATCCTGTCTCCCATGGACTCGAAAAGTAAACTTGAAACCAACTCCTATCCAAATCATGGCAAATATGGGTAGGACCCAAATGAATGGGATTTCACTGCATAATTTATCGGGGTTTAAAATTTTTTAAATTTGTGTTAAATTCATCAACTTCATCTATAAAAAGAGTTCAAATTTGCTTGGAACTTGTTTTGGCTGAAGAAGTGGAAACAGAGTAATAACAAATGACAACCCAGCAAATTCTAAAAATTATTGGGGACAAAATTGAGTCTGTTCTTCCAACTTGCTTGTAATTATTTTATTCTGACTTTTCTGGGGTTTTTTTTTCCTGGAGAATCAAGCTACTTCCACTTAGATTACTTCTAAATGTTCAAATGTCACTGTATTTAATATAAATCAGGGGCAACTGAAAAGTCTGAGAGAAAACAGAGGCCCCAATGAATGTCACGCTGGAGGGAAGTCACTGCAGGGTCTGTTAATGCCTTGTTTCTCTAAAATGTTTAATTGAAATCTGGAAAAATAAAAAGGTAAAGTGTTTGTTAAATGCCTGAGGGCAGAGGTGGCAAAAGCAAAAGTAAGCTTTACAGAAGACTAAAGTTGGCAGGAAATTGCCAGATGAGCTTTGGCTTGGAAATATAAGCTTATTTACCGAGAAGAAAACTATGAAAAGATCAAAGTACCGATTCTCCTTTGCACATTCTTCCACTTGATTCTGGGTATGACTTTCGAGATTAGGGTAACCATTACTATATTAAAACTAGAATAACTTTTCCTGTTCCCCTTTGCTATTTTGCCTGAAATACGGGTCACTGCCCCAAGATGTATGCTGGTGCCCAGCTTACAGGTCTTGCCAATTAGACAGGCTTTTGCACACGTGAATAACTGCCTTTCTTTTTATACCCCATGATTCATTTATATGTTTTTTCCATTAAAAAGATCTGTTGAAATAAGAAGCATAAGTCACAATCACGAAAGCATTTTTACATATTCAAAACGAAGTAAAAGCTGGAACGAGAGTGAAAGACACAAATAAGTGGGTCTACTGGAGTTCCTTCCTCATTGAGTCAACTGTTAATATTTTCTGGTTTGGCCTCAGAGGTTGAGTAAGGAATTCATTGCGAATCTTTTCTTAGGGACAAAAGTCTTTTGTAAAGAATTCTTCACCATCAGAGCTTACTGGACATAACAGACACCTTTGGGGGGTCTGCCACCCCCAGCCTGGGCTTAGTGGCCACGGCCTCTGCTGGCTGGCCTTTTCCTGACTCCATCTCTCACTGGTCTCCAGTGATGCCTTTCAAGCCTCAGATGGGTACCAGCCTCCTGCGGTTCGTCTCTTTGTGCATCCTCATCCCTTTTTGGTGCTCTTAACCTTGCGCATACGTCCATAAAACACAGTCTATTAACCTTTTGTCACTTGAACCCTATACATGTGTCACTTGTCTCTGAAAGGGACGCTTTGACACCCACACTCCCTGTGGTATTTCCTATTGCTATTCTAAAAATTACCACTCTTTTGGTTCTTGGACCCAATTTCAATTTGTGTGCGGTGGTGGGGGTTTCCCCCGTACCAGCAGGCAATCCTCCAGACACCACCTGGGTATTCTACAGTTCAACTCACTTCTGACATTATCTCCCTGGAGACAGCATCAGATCCCTTAGGTTGGGGGTTCAGTCTTACCACGGTGACCCTTCACCCTCAGATGCCAGTCGCAAGCGCAGGTTTTCACTTGTGCTTCTCACTGGTTACAAATTGGAGGGTCCCACGACCTTCTCATGGGTTCAATTCATTTGCTAGAGCTGCACACAGAACTCAGAGAAACATTTGACTTACTAGGTCACAGGTTTATTATAAAAGGATGTAACTCAGGAACAGCCCGATGGAACAGATGCCTAGGGCAAGGCATGGGGAAGGGGCGCAGAGCTTCCACGCCGTCTCCCAGCGCGCCACTCTCCCAGCACCGCCACGTGTTCACCAACCTGGAAGCTCTGAATCCCATCCTTTTGGGTGTTTATTGAGGCTTCATGACGTAAGCATGATAGATTAAATCATTGACCTCCGGTGGTTGAACGCCTCCTCCAGCCCCTCTCCCTCCCTGGAGGTGGGGGCTGGGGGTGCGACTGACAGTTCCAACCCTCTAATCACAGGGTTGGCTTCCCTGGCAACCAGCCCCCATCCTTAGGTGGGGTCCAAAAGTCACTCTATTAACATAACAAAAGACACCTTTATCACTCTCAACACTTAAGAAATTCCAAGGGTTTGGGGAGCAATGAGCCGGGAACCACGGAGGAAGACAATACATATGAGAAATACATTTTGGTCATCTGACTGACCAAATAAATATTTTTCTTATAAATCACAATATCACAACTACAAAGTTGGTGGCATTTCTTATCTTACAGTTCTGGAGGTCAGAAGTCCACAATGAGTCTGACTTGGCTAAAATCAAGGTGTCAGCAGGGCTTCATCCCTCTAGAGGCATGAGGGGGGGATCCATTTCCTGGCTTTTTCCAGCTTCTACACACTGCCCATGTTCCTTGGTTCATGGCCTCCTCTCTCTTCAAAGCCGGCAGTGTACAGTGGTGCCCCCTTATCCATGGGGAATATGTTCTAAGACCCCCAGTGGATGCCTGAAACTGTGGATGGTACTGAACCCCGTATGTTAGATGTTTTTTCCTATACATACCTATGATAAAGTTTAATTTATTACTTAGGCACAGTAGGGCTTAACAACGATAACTTCTTTGGCATATCCAAATTGCCAGCATCACTATTCTTGCACTTTGGGGCCATTACTAAGCAAAATAAGGGTTACTTGAACACAAGCACTGTGATCCCACAGACAGTCGATCTGATAACCCAGACAGCTACTAAGGGGCTATGGGCTGGGTAGCAAATACAGTGTGGACACATCGGACAAAGGATGATTCATGTCCCAGGCAGGACTGAGCGGGACAGCGTGAGATTTCATCATGCTACGCAGAAAGATGTGCCTTTTAAAACTTATGAGTTGTTGACTTCTGAAATTTTCCAAATGGAAGATATTTTCGGGCCACAGAAATGGTAGAAAATGAAACTGCGCCTAAGGAGGGACTACTGGAGCCTCCTTAAATCTCTCCTCTGACCTCTGCTTCGGCTGTCATATTGCCCTCTCTGACTCTCTCGTGCCTCCCTCTTTCCCTTAGAAGACACCCCTGAGAGTAAATTGGGTCTGCCCAAATAATCCAGGATAAGCATTCCATCTCAAGATCCTTAATCTGCAAAGTCCCTCGTGTCATGTGAAGTAACATAGTCACAGTTCCCAAGATTGGGACATGGACATCTTTGGGGTGGGGAGGGGTATTATTCCGTCTACCACACCTTCCCTCAAGGCAAGGGGTCCTTTCGTTTTCTTTCCCAATACTCTGTCCCCCCATACTCTATTTTCCTGTCTCCCTCACAGTGTCCCATCAAATTTTATCTGTCCCATGTCCCACTCTATCTCACTCTGAGAGACCAGAGTCTGAGGAATTAACTAGGAGGGGCGGGAGAGAGAAGAGGTTCGCTTCTTTACCTTATACTGTGCCTGGGGGACTTCACGTGGGAGTTGCAGTGAATTTCTGATGAGGAGCTGGCCGGTGTGTTGGTTCACTTCTTATAAGTGAGGCACTACTGCCACCTGGTGGCAACATACTTAACCCAGTCATTCATTCATTCACTCAACAAACATCAATTGAGTGGCTGCTCTGAGCAAGGAAGGGTGCTAAGCAAAGGGAATAATATTAGTAAACAGTGATGGATGCCTCTTACGTGCCGAGTTCTGTCTTATGTGCTTTACATAGAAAAATGATTTAAGCTTCACCACAACCCTCAGGGTATTATCATCTCTGTTTTACAGTGGAAGAAACAGATACTGAGAAATTCAGCTGCTTGCCCCAGAGCCTACCGCTAATAAGTGGGAGAGTCAGATCTTGAACCAGCGAGTCTGGCTCTAGAACTCTTTACAGACACGTTCCCTGTCCTCGACCATCTTACAGTTTCTTCTTCATAAGAGGTAAATACCAGTTGAAAGGAGTTGTGTAAAATACCAATAATTTGAAATGGCAGCATGTTTTATTCCCTATGGATTCTGTTTTTGATTCACCATCAAGAATCTTCCTCTTCAGCTAGAAGAGGCCACATTCACCTAACTCATTGTGCTTCCCCTGGTTAAGGCATTGGCCTACACTGGAAGGGCTTTAAAAAATAGGAAGTTGACATTCCGCAGGAGCTGTTTCAGCCAGAGGGAGAAGGATGGACGGGGAAATAAGCAGAAGGCAGGGCAGGAGAGGGGAGGGAGAGAAAAGAACCCAGAGAGCTGTGCTATCCAATGTTGCAACCACTAGTGTTACTGAACCAGGTTCGTTTTTGCCCGCCGCCCAGAAAGCCAAACACCAAGATGACGAGATTGCAGCAGAGAGAGGGTTTACTCACAAGGCAGCCATGTGAGGAAGCGAGGGCATGAGCCTCAAATTCGCTTCCCCAAAAATAAGGACTCAGGGATATTTATGGCATGGGGGCAAGGTGGTCAGAAATGTGGAGAGAGGCGAGCGGAGGTGGGGAGAGGCGAGGTAATTGATGATTTGCGCGAGCGCAGTCAGACTCCATGCGTCTTCATAGGACCCATGTTCACAAAATGGCGGCGTTGGCATGATCTGAGGGTGGAGTTTTTAGCCTCTTGACGTCAAAAGGTCGCCTATCGGACAGCTCCGCAGGCCCAGTTGATGAGCCGGTGATCTCAACCAGCCTGAAGTGGACAAGGAGTTCTAATTCCTGAAAAACAGCTCACACGCCGATTACCATGGGGCCCCAGGCTCCAGGGAGATGTTACCTATAGGAGCCTACTGGGAGTCAGGTAGCATATTGCCTAAGCAGCACAGTTAGCAATGGGTGGAACAGCCAAAAGCTACAATCAGTAGTTGACAAAAGGAAAAAAACTTTAGTACCTAGATACTTAATCATCAATGGCTAACTCTCTGCTGGTTTTACTAGTCACTGTTTAAACTTTATTTTTAACTAATTAAGTTAAAAAGTTACTTCCTCTATTGCACTTGGCAAATCTCAAGTGCTCAATAGCCACAGGTGGCTGATGCTATGACAATGGACTGCATAAATACAGAATTTCCAGCATCACAGAACATTCCATTAGACGGTACTGATCCAGATCCCTTATCCCAGAGAAGGGGGTCTTCCCCATGGCTGATCTGGGCATAGGTCACCCAGAGACCGTCTTACAGCTGGAATCTGTGGGTAAGTGACAATGTGGGAGAGCAGAAGTGCAGTAATCCCCTAGCAAAACAGATGTGCCTCTCGTTTCTGTCGACCTGCCCCAGGGACAGGGTGAAAGTGAAGATGTTGAGTCCCAATAGGACTTGGCTCCTTTTTCAGATGAGGTGATGGAAGCGAAGATGGGCCTTGCTCCTCCCTTCCACTGGGTCCTGGAGCTGGCTGTTGGGGGTTGTTGGTCATAACTTCCACGGGTCTCCTTCTGGCTGTCCGCTTGGCTGGTGGTTAGAGAAGGCAAGGACGACTTCACCTGCCAATCTCCATCTCACTCAGGGCCTTTGCTCACAGCTGATGCTCTATGAAATTGTCTAGGAGTTGCCTGTCACTGCAAACTGAGTTGTGTGGGCTTCTGAACCCCCCGCCCTCTCCCTATAAAGACTAAAAGGTGTTGTTTAATAAGTTCTTTTTTTGTGACAATCATGCTTATTTGCTCATACATGAGCCTCTGATTCTCAAACATTAATTTTTCCACTTGTGATAAACTGGCAGAGATGGGTGATTTAGACAGGCAATAACCCGCTAGTAAAATTACATTTTAATTTAGGCTGGCTGCTAAAGAGAAGCTCGCTAAAGCACATAAACACACAGAATGGGGCAGCACCCCAGCTTTAATCGAACTATCGTTCCACCCACCCTGTATTGCTGCCTTGTTCACTCTTTGTCGGGTACTTTCCCTTCCCTTCCATCTCACTCTTCAGTCTCCCTGGGTCCCTGGATCACAGCTTGCACTAAGTTCATTAGGAACCTTCCTTAAGGTGTCCCTTCCCTAGGCTCGGTCCCCTCCAAACACTCTGCAGCTAAATTCATTCACAAATATTTAGTGAGCATCTGCTGCCCTCAAAGAATTATGATCAAGTAGGCAGACACGTTGGTATAATGAAATAGATACGGATGTATAGTAATATATTGGAATATACCTACTGGGTAGATTCCTTTGGTAGCAAATGACAGACAACTCCTACTGGCTTAAGCTGAAAAAGGGAATTCGTTAGCTCACAAAGTCCAAGAGTATATCCTGAATTTTTAGTGGGACCTGACCCAGAGGCTCGCACAATGCTACCAGCAGACTCTTTCCCGCTTCCTCATTCCTTTCTTGCGCCCTTCATTTTGGCTTCATCCTCAGGCTGCATGTGCAGACAAGAAGGCTGCAGCAGCTCCAGATTATAGTGGAAACATGGATGCTTCTCCCTGGCGGCTCCTGTCACGTTCCAGGGTCCGTGCTGATCAGACAGACTCGGCTCCCACGGTCGCCTCTGAACTGTGGCTCCTTAGGGCTCTGACTGGCAAGACCTGGATCACATGGGCTACTCCTGAAATGGGGCGGAGAGGAGTCACAGAACTGTGGCAGAGAAGGGAGACTAGACGCTAAGTAGACAAAAAACAGCAAATGTCTCAGCAGTAGGAGCAAGACATTGAGAACAGGGGAAAACGTGCCTGAATCTGTCCGCAAGTCACAGAAGGCTTCAGAGCAGAGCGTAAACCTGTGTTGACTCTTGAAAAAAGAGCAGGAGTTTGCTGGGCAGGCAGGAAAAGGGATGAGAATGGGAGGGAGGGGATCCCAGCAGCGAGAATGGCCGAGGAAGTCACAAAAGAGAATGAATTGGGTTTCCATATTTTCGTACCAGGTGAAAAGCCTGATTAATAGCCGGGCTCTGGAGCCGTGGCCCCTGGTCTGAATCCCAAATCTGAAACTTACTAGCTGCATAATCTTGACTGGTTACTTAACCTTAGGTTACTTAGCAACTTAAATAACCTGGTTACGTAACCAGGGCGGTCCTCATGCCTCAGTTTCCCCATCTATAAAATTGGAAAAGTAATAGTACCCATCTCACAGAGTTGTTATCAGGATTAATTGAAATGTGTTAATACGTCTAAAGCACTTAGAATAGGGTCTGACACATAGAAAGTGCTAAAAACTTAGTAAAATAATGTGTTTATTGATTAATGCTGTGCTATAACATAGTTTAAAATAATGGCCTACAATTATTTTGTGTAATGCAGTACAAATTTGGTTTAAAAAAATCACAACAGAAGAACAATAAAACTTTGTCTTTCACATGATTATTTATACAGGTAACACTATATATAATATCAGACATAATCCCATTCCTTCTCACATATAAACTGCCCTCTATCCCATTATACTGTTGTCAAGCCTTTATCCCACAGTTCCACATTTTATACAAAGTGTAGTTTCTCTTTCCGGCTTTTGTTTCTTAGGGCCTAATCTTGCAGACTTATTTTAGCAAAATGTTGCTCAATTTAGCCCACCCAGCCTCATGAGACAAAAACCTGACCCGAACAACATCCAAGGAGAAGAACTGAACAGAACGTACACACAACCCACTCTGCCCTGTGTTCATTTTGTAAGGGTCAGCCTCTGAAATTGGGTCAATGGTCTTGTTATTCGTAGTCTGTGTGTTACATTTTCTTACTTAATGTGTACATAGTAGGGTTTTGGGCCAGATGTTCCCCTTATATTTCATTCTTTGGAAACCCTCCACCCTCCACCCTTAAGAAACAATGACTTTTGAAATGGTTTCAGCAAAAGGAAATATATCTTACTTGCAATGTTTTGTGCAGTGGGGGGAAGAAAGCAAGTCATAAAAAGCCCTGTGGTGAGGCCAGGATACAGGACAGTGCTCAGAAAGGATGAGCTATGGGGTCACACTGTCTGGGTTTGAACCCCAGGGTTCAAACTCTATCTGTTCCAAGCTGAGTGACTTGAGCAAATTACTTATTTATCAGAGCCTCAGTTTCCTCCTCTGCAAAATGGGAATGATGATAATGCCTACCTCATGGTCATAGCCAGCCCTCAAGAAGGCCCCCAATGATTCCCACCTCCTGGTATTTATGGCTTGATGGAATCCTTCCCATTGCCTCGGGGTTGGTCTGTGCGACCCATCGAATATGGCAGAAGTGATGGGGTGTCACTTTCAAGGCTCAATGATGCTAGCTTAAAGCTGGAAAGATAGCTTTCCAGTGGCTGCTAGTTCCCCCACTTCCAGGGGACAGGAAACCTCAATGAACTCCTGCCCTCATCACCAGGCCATGGTGGCGTGGACAGCCCCAGTGCACACAGGCATCTCATGTGAAATGTGATGGATTCATTCTTTAGAAATACATCTGTGGATTCAAGAAGTATCAGTTATTTTTCTGAATTTGCCTGTGATATCTAACTTTGTTCTTAACTGTCAACCTCATTGGAAGTAGTTTCCCTTTCAATTACCCATCCAAACTTTGCACGTTCATTCAGGAGGGGTTTCAAGAGTGAGATGGACACATGGCGCACAGCAATTATTTGCGTGCAGGCAGAAAATATGAAATCTCTAATTTTATTTCTATATCTGGTCTGTTTCACAGGCCTGACTTGTGAGATGCAATCATAAGCAACTACATTTTGTCCCTCTACCATTCCTTTAACTTTTCTCAGTGGGCTAGTGTTTCCTCTGCCCCTGGTTAAAACCTTCTGCAGCCTCATGACTTTTCTGGACACTCAGGTCATTCAAAGTTCTGGAGCCCCGTTTCACAGACTGCAGCCTCAGGGCCGAAGTTAGAATGTTAGCATAAGTGAGCAACAAGAAAATGGCAGAACTGACGGTTCTCCATTCTGCCACTCCAGATCAGTGGGCACACTGACTCAACAAACCAAACAATGATGCTCAAACCAGATCTGACAAGGAGGTAGCCCCCCCCGACCATGCAAATCAAAATTATTAAGATGCTTATTTAAAATAAGGATTTATATTCATTACCATTGACAATGAACCTCGCCCTCAATGCATTTTGTCCCTTAAGATATTCATTAATTATATTGGCACATGAGAGAATTAATAAACAGGAAAACAAACATTTACGGAGGGCATGCCCCCACAGTTTTACCGATAGTGGTCAGCAATAAAAAAAAAATAGAGACCCCTGCTTTATGCTTCCATGCAGCCCCAGTGCCACCAGGAAGATGCCCACTGAGCTCGCCACTGAATTCCTACAGCATCTTCGCATGGTCCACTGAATACCCTTTACTAATTCAGCCTCCCACTCTGATCTTTAGCATTTTCACCTTATGGTCTCCACTTTCCTAATGAGTTTATGAACTTCCCAGGGACAAGCAGGATCCATGCTGCTTGGTACCCACAAAAGGTGTCTGATAATACGGCAGAGTTGTAGTTATGCCCACTTTGGGCCAAGTTCGGGAATTCTGCAGTTACTCCTCTCCAAGTGAAGACCAAGGATTGGGGACGGGGGGACGAGGGGGAAGCAGAAATAAAAAAACTGAAAAGGATCTGGAAGATTCGCTCTGTTTGATTCCTTAAAGGGCAGAAATAAAAGCCAAATCCTTCACAAAATATCACTTAACTTCTCATTTTGTATTATTCTAGTTCCGTGATTCCTCTCAGAAATAAAGAAGCGGTATTTGAGGAGAGATGGAGAAATTCTGGGAACCCAAGCCCTCTTGGACGAAGCAGTAACCTCAGCTTCCGTGGTGCATCTTTGCTTTCTGCCGTCCTTCCTTCCTTTGTTCCTTCCTCCTTCTCCTCCCTTCTTTGACTCCTTTCGTGTCCACTGAGGACCCAGCATGTTGTCTGTACTAAGCCGGTGCTGTGAGAGTTAAAGAAACAGTAAGGTCTCCCTGTAAGACACCTGCCATCTTATCTCCTTTGGGAACAGAGAGAGAGGTTGGAAGAAACAAATGCAAACCAACTGAAAGGACAAGAACTACATACAGCTGATTGTCCTTATTGCAGTGATTATGTTCTACAGACCTGCCACAAACTAGTCAGTCGCGAACCAGTGCTCCCAGCAGAATACAGTAGGGTCCTGAGAACCTCTGGTCACAATACTTTCAGCAACCAATCAATACCTAACCTTGTTTTCTGTGTGTTTCTGTCTAAAGACGCCTTATTTAATACACGGTTGATTCATTAACATCGAACTCTCAGTCAACAGCCCTCTGACTAGTGCCTGAATGACATTTCTCTAACGCACGTGCGTTCCCCACGAGGCGCATCACAGCCTTCTTGAGCTTGGGGACACCAGACAGCACTTCAGGATTTTCTAGGAGGACATTTTAAACAGAGAAATCATAAACTAAAAGCACAAATATGTGAAAAATGCAACACGAAACAGACCGCAAACAGGGCACTTGTTACAGTTAAGGAGCAGAAACAAGAAGGTTGCCCAGGTGGCAACAGGAACCTTGAGCAACTCAAACTTTTCGCAGCTCTGCGCGTGTCCACAAATGACCACGAAAGGACTGCGAGTGTTGATTTTGGGGTAACAGATAAATTTTAGCAAGTAGACAAATTCATAAATATGAAATCTGTGAATAATGAGGGTTGACCATGGATATATGTGAGTGTGCATAAAGTTCCCATTCAGAAAAATTAAGGACCAAAAGAGAAAAGGAAATACATTGGGAAAAATTTTATGGAGAATAGGGGCAATGGACGGAGGTGAGAGACGTGGGGAGGGAGGGCCTTCCAGCCTCGTGCCCTGGATGAGGAGAGGTGAGCACGGTGAGGTGTGTGTTTCTGTGAGAAAGGAGGTGGAGTCTAGCTGGAGAAGGGGCTACACGGGAGCCAAGAGGGAGCAGCTTGGAAGGGAGGTGGAAGCCAGGTGGAAGGTAGGCGGACGTGTGTGATTCATCTTGAGAAATCCTGAGCCACATCTGCGGGAGAAGGTGAAGAGTAAGTCAGCTGTGTGAGTCTGACCTCGGTATGCTCAACTCCAAATACTAGGTAAGAGAGGCCTTTTAGAAGAGATGACAAAATAGCAGTTAGTTCTTCAAACACCAATTTGTAGAGGAGAAGAATGTTTAGGAGGAAAGACTTTTAGGGTGATCTTCGCTGAAAACATATTTCACAAGCAAGTAGCAATAACCTGTTCTGTTGGCAAAACAAGAGAAACTGGGCTCAAAGCCAGGATGAGACAGAAATGCTGCTTTTGAAGATGAAACCCTGTAGACATTTGTCAAAGCCCACTCATGCTTCAGACCATCAGAACAAAAGGTCTAAGTACCTGTTTTGATGAAATATCACTGGCTACTTCATAGGAAAAATATAAGTAGAGCTGGAATCTCTGAGTCAGAAAAAAACCCAGTACAGCTGAGTCTTGCAAGCAAGCACACTCACAAAAGGAGCAGAAGTGACTGTGGGGAAAATAAAGCATGGTCTAGACCAGCTGTCATGAAGAATTTTTTTCTTGTAACTTGAAAACAGCTTGCCTCCCTGCTTGATCCACCTTTCCCTGACTCGAGCTCGGGGGCTGTTGGGCTTGTGTCCATGACTCCAGAACTGGGGTTGCGGCACTGAATGGGTGCGGGTTTGGTGCAGTGGTCCCAAAGGGAGGGGACCTGGCATGGGTTAAGGGGTCCAAACTTCAAAGCAGCACATCAAAACTTGGCTACCGGGGCCGGTCCCGTGGCCGAGTGGTTAAGTTCGTGCGCTCTGCTTTGGCAGCCCAGGGTTTTGCTGGTTCGGATCCTGGGTGCGGATATGGCACCACTCATTGGGCCATGCTGAGGCGGCGTCCCACATGCCACAACTAGAAGGAGCCACAACTAAAATATACAACGATGTACTGGGGGGATTTGGGGATAAAAAGCAGGAAGAAAAAAAAAAAGATTGGCAACGGTTGTTAGCTCAGGTGCCAATCTTTAAAAAAACAAAAATCAAACAAACTTGGCTATAATTGTTTGCCAAAAGACATGTTCTGGGATGCCCACAGCAGCACGATTCATAATCACCCAGAACTAAAGGTCCATCCACAGGAGAAGGGATACATAAATCATCCTCCTCCCACACATGTTATACTAGTCAGCAATGAGAAGGCACAACCTGGAACGACACACGACAGTGTGGAGGAATCTCACACACATAATGAGCCAAAGAAGCTAGGCGTGAGAGTACCTGCTGTATGTCTGCATTTATACACAGGAAACATAGATAGCAAAACATATAGTAGACATATAGTATGTTACTGGAAGTCAGGCAGTGGTCACCCCTGGGGAGCGAGATTATAGACGCTGGAAGGGAATGCGAGGGGGGCGTCTACTGGGGTGGGGAAATGTTCTGTATCTAACCTGGGTGCTGACCGCACTGGCGAGTTCAATTTATAAAGTTCAGAGAGCTATACACTTCTGATATGTGCACTTTTACGAATGGAAAGTACGCTTCAAGGAGAATGTTTTTAAAGTGTTTGCCATTCCCAAGAGGGTGGTAAGGGCATCCTCTGTTACAAGGAAACCCATTGCCTCATGACATCAGAGGGCACGGAGCAGCTCAGAAGGTGGCTTTCTCTCTGCCCCAAAGTCAATACAGAATAAAGCACCGAATAAGAGGATGCCTGGAACCTCACGTGAAGTCTCATTTATTCATTTACACATTGGTCATTCAGACAACGTGCGCAGGGAGGGAAAACAGACCATCTGGGACTAAACGGCGCTCCATCTAGAAGGGGAGACTGACAGTGATGCACAGTGTGGCAGGTGCTGTGTCAGGATGACATTAGGGGATTAAGGGAGTACTGACTGGAGGGTCCAGGGCCGTGGACTCCAAGGGAAGGAGTCCTGACATGTTTGATTAACTCTTGAACTGAGTTTCCTCCAACCCCAGAAGCATCCTCTGAGCCTCAAGGCAGTGGTTTAATTTCCTGCGCACACCATCACTCAAGGCATCTTGTTAAGATGCGGATTCTGATGCAGCAGGCCCAGCAGGGCCTGACATCTGCATTTCTGATGAGGCTTTTAGGAGACACTCGAGCTGCTAGTCCTGGAACCACACTCTGTGGGGAAAGAGAGGAGGTGATGTGACCAGCAGTGATTGTCAGGCTCCAGTCCAGCACAGTTGGACAATCTATCTTGTTCAGGCCAGTCCCTCCCGAGGGCACAAGGGCACCAGAAGAGAAACAAAAGGCAGACCAGTGTGGGAAGAGATAGGGTGCCTGGCGAGGCTCTCCAGACCCTGCGTGCTGTCAGGCAGCCAGCCAAGGGCAGGAGGGAGAGAGAAAGGGAGTGGAGGGGGCAAGGGGCCGTCACTCACGCTACTTTACAAAAGTGGGAAAAAACTCTGTCTCACGCTGCTTTCACTGCTGCCCGCCCACCCCCCCACCCCCAGCTGTCCAACCTTTCCTTGACACGAAGAACAGACTGGAGGTGTGAATATAAATGTAAAATTCTTGAACAAGGCAAAACAGATTTAACAGGAAAATGGAGAAATGGGTCAGGGCTGCCTCAACCAATTGGTGAGCTAAACATGAAAAAAGGTGGCTGAAATCATATCTATTTGCTCACCCGTTGGAAGGAGGACATGAAGGGTGTCACATACACCTCATTCTGTTAGGGAAAGAGATTCTTCTAGACTCCAGCCCAGACTGGAGGAAGGGGAGGCAGCGTCCTGAGAGGGAAGAAGAGAGCCTGTCAAGGAGCAGTGGGGGGGCAAGGGGGGAGGGTTGTTGGGGGGGAGGACTTTCAGTTTAAGAAAGAGCAAGAGAAAGCAGACAAGCTGTGCTGTCCTGGACAAGCCAAGTTGAGCAGGGCTGAAGCAAGGGCGTGGACGGGACAGGCAGGACCAGCCCAGCAGCTCCAGAGAGTGTGAAGTCTGGAGTCACGAAGACTGTTTTTTTCTTTGTCTGTAGATTCTAGTTCTGGTGACCTTCATTTCTTTTAAACATCAGTAAATAACTTCTTTTGAATTGGTAATATATTCACATACCTCAAAATTCAAAAGGCTTAACAGGTGGTTCAGTTAAAATATCTACTTCTCACCTCTGTTTCTTAGCCACTCTACTTCTCCTACTCACTATACCATGAGTTTCTTGTGGGTATCTCCAGAAATATTTTACATAGATAGGAGCCGATTTTATATATAGTCTCCTCTTCCCTTTTACATAAAAAGAGAAAGACAACCATAATCAGATTCTATCAGACTCTGACCATATTGCCCCTTATCTCACCAGATATGTGCCCTGATTCTAATCGTCCTCTGGACCAACATCGACTCCACCTCTTCAGTCTCTCATCCCCTTGGTGTCCTCTCTTTGCCCAGCTCGCAAAATCACCCACAGGCAGCCACACCTACCAAAAAAGGTAGAGAATATCTATCAGAGATATTGATGACACCTTGAAGGATTTTAAGCAGGGTAGTGAGATGGTTAAATTAGAAAGAATACTTCAGCAGAAAACACAAGATAGAAGAAAGATTTATCTATAAACAACGTTTTTTTCAGACTTACAGAATAGTCCACAATAAAATGGTGGCAAATTGATAGACAAAGGTCTTAAGCACCTGGGGCAAAACTGATAAACCCATCCAACTGAGACTAGGTCTCTTAGTAAAGACTGAGTTCCCTGTGAATGATGGTAAACCAAAACTGGAAGTAGGCACAGTCCATAGGAGAGTTCCATGATGACCAGAGGCCTGCCTACTTCCAGCTCATAGCTCCTTCTATGTTGCTGCTCCACCATCCTCAGCACATGGTTCCAACCTCATGATACAATATGGCAGTTAGAGCTCCAGCCATCAAATCTGCATTCCAGATAAGAGAACAGAGAGAGTTTTTTTTTTTTAAAAAGTCTCTGTTAAGGACACTTCCTAGAAGTCATAATTGGTAATTCCACTTACCTTCCATTGGCCAGAACTTAGTTACATGGTCATAACTGAAAAAAAGGCTGGGAAATATAGTCTTCTGGGAGGCCAAGTGTCCAGGTAAATATCGAGGGTTTTACTACTAAGGATGAAGAGAAATACAGATATTGGGAAACAACTAATGGTCTCTACCATACCAGGAAAGAAGAAAGGCAGATTATTAAGTGTGCGAGGCATTGGATTAACTTGTAGGATTCTGAACCCCCAGAATTCTTCTTTCCCAAACACATCTCTGCTTCTGGCCTCATGCCTTGATTCCTGCTACTATGTTTACCTGGAAAGCTGCCCTCTTCACATTCCCCATCCTCAATCCTGCCGCTACCATTTTTCCTACTAAAATGCTGCCCATCCTTCAAGCCCCGTCTCAAATGCTGTATCACCCACGATGTTATTCCTGAGCTTCCCGAAAATGACAGAACTTGTCCCCCTAGAATTTCATTTATAGTTCTCCTTGCGCCTTCATCTTAAGACCATGCCCTCTTAGGTCATTGGCATAGCTGGGCACTAGAGTGTAAATTACCCAAAGGGAAGGCAGCGCCTTCCCTGACTCTGTTCTTGGTAGCATAGTGTAGTAGAGTGCACTTAATAAATATCTGCAAATTGCATTGACTATTTAAAGAAAGGCCTGTGTGAAGTAAGAGGGGAAAACAATGAGAAGTCTTTATGCCCTTTTAAGGAAAGCGTTAATGCACCAATTGCAATTTCCTGAATTTCAAAAATATAGATCATTGCTAATGTTGCCAACTCTCTTTAGCGGCCGGTTTTGGTGTGATCTGCTTCTCATTTCGCATGTCTTGGTTGCCTCTCATTTCACAGGCGTTCCTAAAAACTCTTGCTAACAAAACAAGAAAAAATAAGTATTAAAATTATCAAAATAGACCAAATAAAAGACAACTGAAATAATACGACTAGCTGAAATGTAACAAATGATCACTTTAGGCCAACCCCAGTGCTAAGCTCTTCACAGACATTATCTCACTTCATCCTTCCAACAGCCCATGGGGCAGAGGTGTCTCCAGGATCCTGAGGGGACCGACGCCTAGAAGGATTAAGGAACTTTTCCGGGTGAGCAAAGGAGCTGGAATACTTCCTGTTCATAGGGCTCTGTAAACACATATACTATTTCTTTTCATAAAACTTGATATAAATCATCTTTTTCATCCTTGCTAAAGTCTCCTTTTGTATATACACCTTGATAATATCCTTATTTTATAGAAGCGATGGAAAATTTCATTTTTTAAACTATTCTGAATCCACCAATGTATACGAGTTACACACCTATAGTTTGTGAATTGCTAATTTTATACACTCTCTATTTAGGGGGGTCAGTGGTATCTTAGAAAACAATTCCAACTGTATATCTATTTTTTGATTAATCTATGAATCAATCTGAGGAATTCATTTGTGGTTGTCTGCGGATATCTGTTCTTGAATGCAGTGGCATAAACTCTGTGGGTTCCTGGTAATCAATAATAGAAGATGATGATATTGACATTCTTTTAAAATAAACAAACTATCCTTTCTCCATAAAGAAGATAATTTGACTGTGTATTCTTTGAATAAGTCAATTCTATTCCATCATATTTGTCATCCTAGATTTGGTAACACCCAGAACACATTTTAGACCTCAAAAAAATGTTTGCAGCTGTCAACCCTGTCATGGATTCTTAGGCCCTGTAGAATTAGGATTTATGCACGTGTAAAGTATTGGAGTTCATAGTTTGGGATGTTTTTGTTTTGTTTTGTTTCTCTTTTGGCTTGCAGGGGCCAACCCAAGGACACCCAAATATAAAGCATCTTCCTCTGCAGCTGGAGCCATATTTAATTCTTAGATCACTCTGATACACAATGGAGCTGGCCAGCACGCTCCAATGCTCAGCTCATCAGATATCCCCCACACTTCTTGAATCTTCAATTCTCTCTTCTCTAGAAATCCTTTCACTTCTATATCTAAACATGTTTAAGTTTCTCTCGTCCTGAAAACATAAAAACACTTTCTCAATGCCGCATTCCTCTGTATTCCCTTTTCATCTTCCCTTCTCACTTTGGCCAAGCATCTCGACAGAGCAGCCTATGTTCTATTTCCCCTCTTCTCTTTTATTGCTCAACCCACTGCTTTCTGGCATCCACCTTCAACTAAACCTCAAAGGTCAACAAAAATACCACCCTCCCTACCGCTAACCTATCGCCAAATGCAAAGAAGACTTTTTACTTTTTATTTTAACAGCCTTCCAGGCTGCATTTGACATTGCAAGTTGGCGCTTTCTAGTTTATTTCATGAGTTCCTCTTATTCTACCTTCTACCCTTTTTAAAAATTTCAGTTTTACTGAGGTATAACCGACAAATAAAATTGTAAGGTATTTAAAGTGTACATCGTGGTGATTTGATATATGCATATATCATGAAATGAGTCCCCCCATCCTCCAGGCCTTTTTTATTAACTTTGAATGTTCTCCCAGCTTCCAACCTGTTTTCACTGCTCTTCTCTTTACACACTCTCCTTGGGCTGAGCTTACCCACTATCATAGTTTCACCCACCCCATTATGTGATGTTCTCATATCTACCCGAAACTTCCCCAGAGCTATGGATTTAAATATCCAGGTGACTCAGTGACATCTTCACTTTGATTCCCATACATTCTCAAACTCCATATATCCAAAATTAAACTTAGATCTTCTCCACCTAAATCTGTCCTCTTCCTATAGTCTCTATCTTTGGTTAATGATTACCCAGCCACTGAAGCCAAAAATCTGAGAATCATTTTAGGCTCCTTCTTAATCTGTGAATCCACTTGTCTCTTAAGTATTCCTTCCATTCCTTCCTTGCTCTCTATCCTTACTCATTACTTGCCTATGTCGGGCCCCCAGCATCCTCTTCTTGGACTACTTTAATAATTTCCCAACTCTCCTGCCACTGGTTCTAACACCTCATATCCATTCTCTGAATACCACCACTGTTCTCCTGATAACATGAATCTGACCATGTCACTCCCCTGCTTAAAATTCTTTAATGGGTCCCCCACTCATGCACTCAAGATTAAAAACCCAGTCCTGTCCTGTCCTCTTCCAATTTTTCCTGTTTCAACTCTGAAGTCCCATCCGAAAGGCAAGTCACCCTTCCATCCTTCCTTACCTTCTCCTGGATGGGCCCCAGAGCTGAGCTAGATGTCTCAGCCTGGCATTCCAATCTTGCAGCCAGAGCATACTCATATCATAGAATCCTCTCATTACAACACATCAAACTAATCTTCCTAAATTTCTAAAATGGGAATGTTGGCATATTTCGTTTTAGATCTCCAGGGCCTGGAAATGTACATAATTAGCACTTAAGACACACTTGTTGAACTGACAGACCTGAGCTTGCTTGTACTGGGTTGCCCACATGGCAAGTCAGCAACAAAAAAAACCTCTGAAAATGTCAGTCTTATAGTTAACTTGACGTTGACTACTTCTTTCCCATTAGCTTTTAAAACGTTTGTAAGAGGATTTCCATTTTCAAGCGTATTAAAAGGAAGAAAAAAAAGAAAGAGCTGTTTTGTGCCTCCCCGTCGGGGAATCGAACCCCGGTCTCCCGCGTGACAGGCGGGGATACTCACCACTATACTAACGAGGAACTGCACAAGCGTTGAGCTTCTGACAAGCCTCTTATCCCTTTTTTAGGCCGTCCCGGCCTTATCTGTAACCACCAATAGGTCTAACACTCTTCTATCACCGTTGCAGTTTCCACCGAAGTTCAACGGAACTGAAATGGAAGCGTTCCGTCGCTGTACTTCCAACCATTTCCGTTGGCCCACCTTTCCTCTAACTGCCCCAACTCCCCTCCTCTTCCTCTCTTCCCTTTTCGGGAGCAATCTCGGTTCTCCTCAGCGCCCCCTCGCCACACACACTCCCAGGGAACAAAGCGCACACCTTGCCGCGCTGCACCACGGAACTTGTAGTTCCTTTCAAGCCGTACCGTATTCTTCTCTCACTGTAAGAGACTTCCTTTCCCAGTGGGCGCCGCGAATCCCTCCGCTTCTTTACCTCCCTCCCTTCTCCTCTCGTTCTCAGTCGAGTAGTCTGGCAGCAGCGTGGTGGGGTTCGGATCGGTGTGTGGCACAACTCCCTAGAGTCATGCCCGAGGTGGTGGATACGTGCTCCTTGGCCTCTCCGGCTTCCGTCTGCCAGACCAAGCACCTGCACCTGCGCTGCAGCGTCGACTTTACCCGCCGGGTGCTGACCGGGACCGCGGCGCTCACGGTCCAGTCTCAGGAGGACAATCTGCGCAGCCTGGTACGGTGGGACGCGCGCCACTGCCCGCCTCTCCCCGGCCACCCGCCTCTAGTCCCTCACCCTGCTCCGGCCGCTTCCCAGCCCCGCGCCCCTGTCTGCTCCAGCATCCCTCGGTGCTCCTCCGCAGTCCGCAACCCTTATTCTGCACCTCCTCGCCAGCCCCCACTCATTCCTCAGCGTCCCCTTCTTCAGCGCCCCCCTCACCCCATATCGCCCCCTCCCAACCCCATTTACGTCTGTGCATCCCTCCCTCACCCGCTATGTATATGAACTTAAGTGTCTCCTCCACCTCTTCCCCCAAAGCCCCCTCCTCAGTCCCTGGGCACGTCCAGCGCCCCATCCACGCCCCACTCCTCACCCAGCGCTCAGGTTTCATTTTAGCAGGAATCTCCCCTGCCCCCATTATCCTAGTTCCCAGCGCTTAATCCCCCCTGTGGCCTCCCCGTTTCCTCGGCCTACAGCCCAGAACTCCCTCCTCAGGCCTCAGATTTCTTCCAGTCCCCAGCGCACCTTACTCACTCCACAGTCTCATCTAAGTCCCAGACCCTATAACCTGCCGATCCCTGGTCCCACTCTTCCCTCCCTGGCACCTTTATTTCAACCCGCAGGTCTGAAGGATACGACCGATTGTCGTCTTCCCTCAATCTGCCTGCCAGTCATTCTCAACCCCCTTAGGAGTCCCAGCCCAAGAACCCCTCTCTCCCCCATTCTTTCATACTTCCTGTCTCTACTAACTTTAGGTGCATCTATTGCTCCAGGATCATGGTCTTTCTTACTTTTGATTCTTGTCACCCTTCTCTTCTAATAATTTAAGGACAAGTGGGCCGTTCAAGCTTTCTAAGGATGTCTCAATAGGATGTATTAGTAGTTGGTTTCAAGGAGCAAGTAATTATTGCACTTCTTAGAAAATATGTGCAAGCCCTTAGAAAATTCTGCAAGCCCTCTAGCCAATTGAATGATGAAAAACTTGTTTAGATTTATGGAATGTTATTAAATTATTTTATCTCAACAACATAACCTGTTTTCAGTGTTCTTCCTCAGATTGTTTCATAGTATTTGGATTGTACTTTTCACCTGAAGAATTTCCTAGATGAGCATTTTAGAAATAAGAGGCACAGGAAAAGACCAGCCACAGTGTATTTTGCATAGAGTAGCGTGGTAATATCTGCTGTAGCTCAGCATGAAGCCACCAGATCATGTAGGTTGTAGGCTTTGATGGAGGGAAATCAGTAGAGTTAATTGGTGGGGCGTAATAATGTTTAGATAAGAATTGGTGATTTTCACGACTCTTTTTCCTGCTTGTGTAACAGGCCTGCATTTTGAGTTCATTAATATGAACTCATATAGCAAGCACGTAGCTTTCTTCCCTTTTGTCCTTTAACATTTTACTAGACTAATTCTGATTTGAACAATAGATGATTGCTCTATGTATTGATATGTAGTCATCAAAAGTATATAGGGAAGAAAATTAATAAAAGTATTATAAGCACAAAGGTAACTGCTTCCCTGTAGGTTGTACTTCTTGGAGTACCGTGCTGTCTTTTATTGCAGACAGCTTTGCCCAGGCAGGGTTGGCTGGACTCAAGTCCTATTTCAAGGCAGTCTCTCCTTTTATTAAAAGAAAGTGAATTTTGATAGCTCGTCACTGCTTAATATGACCCTGCACTCTCACCTGTTTTGTAAAAATGAAAGCTTTACCTTTGTTCCATGAGTAAGTAAGAGTTAGGTTGCTTAAATTTTCAAAACAATGTCCCTTCAATGTCCCACTCTAAAAACCTGCGCATTGTTTTTGCATTCCCCAAATCTCAAGAGAAGTAAGATTTTTAAATTATGATTTCTGGTTGGCATGTTTGTTTAGTAAATTAGAGCCTGGAATTATAATAATCTTAGATTTTACACAAGGAAGGCTAGTTGTAGTACAGTGACATTTGTTTATAATTGCTTATTTATAAACAATAACCTGAGGCCAAGAGGTTGGTTTTATTTATTCGACATTAGCTTGTTTCTTTCCTTTAGTAGATTATGGACTCTTGAAGGTAGGGAATATGTTTCATGACTGTTTGTATCCCAGGTTCTTAGTATAGCACCTGGCATGTAGAGGACACTCAGAAGTTTGATGAATTAATGGGGGAATTCAACTAGAAAGCAGTGCCTAATCTTAAGTGGGCTGTGGTGATAATGGCGTTAATTGCATCTTGAAGGTGGGCTGGCGTCATACCTCGCCACCGCAGTAGAGAGGACCCAGTGCCAGTGCTGGCTGAGGACACCATGCGTCCTTTACCTTCTCCATTCTTGGAGTCCATGATGCTGGGGAGTGTTGAAGGAGCTCTAACAGCACTAATTCCCAGCTTTTCTGAAACTCCTCTAGAAATTTTGGGTTATTTGCACTGAAGGTTAGTACTCTTCCGTGATAAGTTTCAAGCATTTGTTTCTTTTATTGAAATGTTCAGTTTTTCAGGTGTTCTTTCAGTTCGTGTCTCAAAGAGGTTTTCATGTCTTGGCCGAGATGGTATACTAGTAATTGGCAGAGGCCAGGGACTGAACGCAGATCTTTCTGACTGCGGACTCTCCAATCTTCACAAAGTAAATGCCTGACCTGGGAATCTAATCAAGGTGTTGTTTTGGTTTCGGTTTTGTTCTTAATAACCCCATGGTTTTTTCATTACAGCATCCTGCAAATAACAAGGAGAAAATATAGAGACATAATAATGAAGGCTAAAGCTTTTTTATTTAAACCCTGCTTTGTTGCAGAAAGAATCTGAGACTGCTTAAAACAACATAACAGTGTAATAAGATTAAAAATAGTTAAAGAATTTGGAGGAAGAGAGAATAAGGACAGGAAAAACAAAACACATGACATAAAGCCCTAGACACAAAAGAAGAAGTGGGCCATGACGTTGACATGAAACTTCCCAGCAGCCTGTGCAAAAAGGGAATTGTTATATATTCCATGGCAACTGGCCAGCTGCTTAGAAGTAGAAGCAGCTGTACTTTTGGGGTGTTATTCAAAGAGGACACTGTAAGATAGAGTAAATTATATCCTCACTAACTTCCTACTCTTGGTAGGTCTGTTTCTTATAACTACTTATGGATATCTTGGCCTCATACATAGCTGCTGCTCAATAAAAATTTGTTGAAAAGTACTAATTCTGCCTTGACAACTTATCCAGTTTCCTTTGTTTTTCTTCCCTATTACTATTTTTGATCAATTGTTTAATAACATTTGTTAGTGAAATTTGGACAGGAATTTCTTAAGTGATCTGGGAATTACAGCTGAGGTTAGGACTGGAGATATACAGGGGTGGCTGTGTGTTGCTGTGATGCTCAAAGCTATGCCACTGGTCTTTCAATTACCAGCAGGGTCACCCCCAGTGGACAGGTTTCAGTGGAACTTCCAGATTAGAGAGACTAGAAAGAAGGACCTGGCCACCCACTTTCAAAAAAAGCATTTGTAACAACAACAGATCATTGTAATGTGGTACAGTAAATGCTACAGAAAAAAAAGAGTTGGGCTTACTCACAAAAAAGGCATAACAATAACCTTAGTTTTTTTAACAAATTTGAAAAGTTCAGGCAATACAGAAAATAGAATGTATTCCACTGGGAAGTGACCCAATTAATTCATCCTTATGGTTATAAGAGTAGTTATATACATAGATATTCACATCAAAGTTTTAAAACAAATCAGATATTCAGAAATAGGTACTAGAATATGAAGGGACAAAGGAGTAACTTATTCTTAATAAGAGATTAACCTAATAAAACCATATATTCTGAATATGCAAGTGCAGGAAGATAAATCAGTTCTACTAATTTAAGAGTAAGGGCAACAGTTGAGCTACCCCCAAAAAGAGAGTAACCTGAAAGAAGTAACTGCCCATTCCCATATGAGGGAAACAGATTTGGCTGCTCTTACAAAACAGGGAAAAAAAGTTAAACCAGGGCGGGAATTTCTTCCCAACCAAAAATTATTGACTCTAGAGAGGTGGGAATCAAATTAATGATTGCCCCTCTGACTTCCTGAGCTTATGGCCCACACACAGTTAACTAATATAAAAGAGAGGCAACTGGAAATGGTGTTTCTTGGCCATCTACCTCCCTAAGCTGTTCCAGGCCAGGTGTCAAGGAAAAGATGCCAGAGGCAAGGAGATCAGATAGTAGGCAGTTCTAAAGCAGGCCTGACCTAGGGTGGTGGTGGAAGGAAAGAAAAGAAAGTATGAGGCCAGTGTAAGAGAAAACCTTGGCAATTGGCTATGCGGGATTGGGAAGTGGAATCGTTGTGGATTCTTTGAATGTTTCAAACCTTAGGTACCCTGAGGAGATCTGTTAACAGAATAGAGAAATCAGGGGAGAGAGCTGATTTACAGGACATGATGGTGGCTTCATTTTCAGAATCTTTGGAAGCCTGCAGAATATGAGGCACTGTTTCCCATGGAAATGTGAAGCAGACAATTAGAGATATCCAGCTAGAGTCCTCGGGGAGGAGATACAACTGTAGCAATAGACTGGTAGTCATCTGTACAGGGGTACTAGTTGATGGTGCGTGCATGAGTGAGAACTAGGAATGAAGAATATGGTAAGAAAATCAAAGGCCCAACCAAGTCTAGAGCATTGGGACATGTCCATATT